AAATGGAGAAGAGCCCTGGGACTCACCGCTCTTGCAGTGGCCTTGGGGCTTCGGGAGGCTCATGGGAGAGCCCCCCCCACATGGCAGGAGGCAGCGGGGATTGCCCCCCTGCTGGCAGGAGGGGCAAGTCTGGGCTTTTTCTTTTCTTTTTTTTTTTTTAAGGGCCAGAGCTCCAGTGGGTGGAGCTGCCATGGGGGAGGCTGGGGCAGCAGGGGGAGGGTTAGGGTGTTTGTGCAGAGTCCCCCATGCAGTGTGGGGCAGTAGGGGGCAGCGGGGATCTCTCCCCTGCCTGGCAGCACCCGCTGATTCGAGGCTTTTTTTTTTTCCAAGTGCCGGGAGCTGAGACAGGCGGGCACCGATTGCTGGGCTGGTGGGGACGGGCTTGGCTGATTCAGAGATTCTGCTGCCAAATCTCTGAATCAGATTCAGCCAAATCGGTTTGGGACAGTGATTTGAATCACTGAATCAGATCACTGTCTCCCGAATCGGCCAATTCTGAATCCTAAGTGAATACTAGCCACTTCACACCGGCCGATAAGACAGTCACAAACTTAGACAGTTTCGCCAGCTAGTGGACACTTTCAAGTGGCATTGTAGATGAGGATTTCCACAGCTTGGTTGGCAACTACATGTAGAAGCCTCCACGACTTGTCTGAATTTGAACCTACTAATCTTCCAGTACCAAAAGACTGTTGGTCTACTGAGATTTGAATTACCTTCATTTTTACTGACTTATACCTGCACAGTTCCTAGCATGGTCAGGCTCCAGAAGTATGATGTTGGCATCCGGGCAGGAAGGTGTTCATGTTCACATAATTATCATTACTAGTCATTTCTTTGTAGGTGAGCAGTTGCACATGCTCGTATTCAAATTGCAAACAATTCTGGGAGGGAATTGTAAGGCATATAATGCTGTCATATGATGCTGTATCCGTCCATTGGACCTGGTGTTCAAAAGCTGTGGTACTAATCTGCATGTGTTTGAGACTCACAAATCAGACCACATGATCAACTAGAAATGAATTGTGCTTTGGACTGTAATGGGGGAGGGTTTCCCCTTAGTTAGGGGTAGGATACTCAAAAATTTCACCTCACTAGCTTTGTTGTACATGCATGTGGAGATGGGATTTATCTCTTTTTAAAGATCTTTATTTATTTGACCACACTTCCTGAAAGTGTATATAGTCAAGGCCTTCTGCTCTCTTTTATCATAAAAACTGGAAAATTTATCATCTTAACAATTTTGTTTTTAAGGTATGTGACCCTGCTTTTCAGTTTTTAAAAAACTGTTATGGTGGACATTGACCAGATAAGTTTTCTGAGCTACTGCAGTTGTCATTACTTATAATTTGATTTATGCTAACTTTCTCAAAGTTTTAGCCTTTCTAGCTGGCATCCAATTTATAAGTATCTATAAAGGTATAATTATAATTTACCTGTAATTCTTATTGAAAAATATCATTTTTTTTAGTTTCACTTTTCCATCATGTTCCTTCAGTTTGTAGAGTGTTTCTTTGAGGTGTGTTAAACATTTTTTCATTCATTGAAATTGAATGTCTTACCTAATTGCAACCACTGAATTTTGGGAGCTATGACTGCCCCTTGAGAAGGTTCTAGAGCTTTGAGATTATGACTTGTAGTTTGAGCACAAGGGTTCAGTTTCTACCAGATTTGGAAGGCCAAAAAGCGTGGCAAAGTTAAGGATTTCATGCTTGTTTTGTATTAACAGAGCAAGGTATGGGAATAGGACTCAAACACGAAGTATAATTTTTCTTTTCTTTTTACATACCAGCTTATTATTTTCTAATTATTTAAATCCTTTTTTCCATTTTTTTTGCAGTTTCTTTCCAAATTTCTTAAACTAATGATTCTTAACCAGGGTGCTATCTATGGCACTCTGAGGTGCTTTGAGATCCTTTCAAGGGTGCTGCACAGATATCACTGTTAAGTTTACAAACACGATTCACAAGATGAACCAAATATTTCAACTAGAAGTTCATAGTTGTGGTCTTTCTGAGTTATTTTCAACAAAAAACGCTATTATTTTTCCATAGTCAAAAAAAAGAATGAAAACTAAAAGCTGGCATTTCCAAGGGGTGTCTCAAGTCTTAAAAGGTTGACAACCACTGTCTTAAACAGTTTGTCCACCTGTATTCATATGTAAAACTGATTTTGTCTGTACTTTAAAACTTCCTGAATATGGAGATTTTAATGCATCCAATGGATCTAATGGATCCAATCTAATGAATTTGGATTCCATCCAAATCTAATGTCACTCCATTTTTCTTTTTGAATGATGAGTTAGGTTCTCTTAAAAATATTCTGGTATTTAAGATTTCTCTCCATATTTTTATCTCTTCTGATAAATATTTTGATTCTGATCCACCTTATCTCTTAAATATTACCTTCTATAATTAAGAATCCACTGGTGTAATTTTAGACTAGGAACCTAAATTCATCATTTGGTTATATGGGATTTCTTTTAATGATTTCTTTCCTAATTTTCCATTAAATTTCACTTTTTTATTAACAGTGTTAACTGGCAATGATTTTATGTTATTTAATAATGGTATTGAAATACCTTGAATTCAGGTTGCCCCATTTGTGTTAAATTAAGTCATTTTCATGCATTTAGGGTGCCTTTAGATGTGCCAGGAGGCTGCTCTGACATGTTGTTATTACTTGATTAATCAAGTGTGCTTAAGTGTGCTAATTAGTGCTCTCCAGCCAGCCTCCACATCTCGTGTATCAGCATCCCCATGCTTCAAAATGGTGACGGAGGCACTTTAACTGAAGCTCGTCAAACAAGCTTTAGTTAAAGTGCCCCTGTCATCATTTTGAAGTGCGGGGATACTGATACATGAGATGTGGTGGGCACTTTTATTAGAGCAACTCCCTAGAGCAAATGTAAAAACACCCTCAATTATTTAGCTATTGAGGGAAACTTTGGCAAAATGTATTCAACCCTGTAAGTCAAATACAGTGATTCTCAACCTTTTTAGATTCAAGGCACTTCTCCATTACGTTTCTGAATTTGACATCACTCAGGTTGAGAACCACCACTCTAGTGCCTCAGTTTGCCTCTGGTTTTCAACCTAGATGCTACTGCCACAGTCAAGCAAAACTGCCCTATGTACCTCATGCAGAGCCAGATAAGGAAGCAATAATGTTACTTGTCTGAGCAGATATTCCTGCTCTTTATATTGAATACTACTGGCAACTCTAGTGAGGAAGTTGTATTTTAAGGTGTTGAATTCACTCAGGGTAAAAGATTACTATGTTGACTATTTCCCTCTTAATTCATGTGTGCATAAAAACAAAAACCATTGGGATAAGAATAAAATATTGTTCAGGTTTCCTTAGACTATCAATACTAATAGCATAGG